GGAGTCCTGGTCCCGGCCCAGGCGGGCGGCGCACCAGTGGTCCGGAGGCCTGGAAACTACATTTCCCAGAAACCCACGCTCTCGCTTGCGTCACTCGGCGGGCGCGGAGGCGACGCAGGAGGTCCTACACTGAGCATGCGCATTCCCCCCTTCTTTGCCACCCCGCCTCCCTCCAAGGCTTTGGAGGAGGGGATGTCGAGGTGCTTCCCCCTCGGAGGTTAGGGTCCCCCCCACCCCCTTGCTGCGGAGGTAGCTCCGCCCTGGCGAAGGCCTAAGGAGCTAGAAGAGCCCGCAGTTTTCAGTCGCGCAGACGCTGGCAGCTGTACGAAGCCGGGTTCCTGCGGGCCCCCCACGCGGCCCGACACCGCGAGTCTGCAGTGAACCCTCTAGTCTGTGTCAGTCGGGGTGCAGCGCCGGCCGGCCCTGCGGGCCCAGGACCCTTAGGCCCCTTCAGAGGCCTGGGAGGGCGCCGAGAACCCCCGAGGGGCACCGCGTCAAAGAAGCCATTTGCCTCGGTGTCTATGGGCTGGGCGGCCGGAACCGGGCTGCATTCAGAAGACACCGAGCCAGCTGGAGCCTTGGGTGGGGCCCTTTACCCGGAGGTGCTGTTTGCTCATTGGGGTTTGTGGCACACACACCCCCCTCCCCCATCCATTCCTGAGGGTCCGAGGCTGGAGGAGTGGGGAGGATGCCACCTGCCTCAGTTCCAGGGAATCCCAATGGGAACCGGATGGGATGTCAGGCTCTGACCAGTGGGATCCCCGCTGTTTTCCCAAAAGACATGAATTGCACAGCCTGGCATTCTCCCCACCCCTTCCCGGGGCACTGTCTGCAGGGCGCTCAACGCCTGCGCTAGGCCCACGCAGCCTTGGATCGCCAGCACCGCCCACTTCAGGATGTGTCAGATACACTCGCAAATGCCCAGGAGTCAAGGCTTAGCCACGCGCCACAAAGACAGAAAAATAACCGTAGGATCCTTGACTGCTGGCCGCCAAACCAAATTTTTATTGCCGTATAACACGGGTACAGGAAAGTGCACGAATGCAACGTGCACCGCTGGAAGGATTGTCACAACCTGGCCAGTGGGTGCTGGGAAGAGGGTGCACCCCGGAGGGGATGTGGGCAACCCCGGGGGTGGGGACACTGCATCCCACTCAATGGACTTGCAAGGGGTGATTCCGTCCTGCAGGAAGAGGGGTCAGATGCTGGACAAACTGGGACACAATGACAGCTGCCCACCACAGGCACGCCCCATGCTTTCCTCTGACAAACAAAAATGTGTTTTAAGAAAATAACATGAAAACGGAAAGTGGAATCGTTACAATCATGAAACCCAAGGGACAGAGGAGACCGGCCCCACGAGGGTGGCTGAGCAGGGCGGGGAGGGGGCTCCCTAAAGCTACGGGCATGCGGGTTCCCGCGGGGCGGTCCGGAAAAGGCGGTGCTGCATGGCCACGGGGTCAGAGGATGATGCAGAAGAACTTCTTCTCCCGGAACGGGTTTTCCGACGCCGGCACGGGGATGATGAGCGGGTCCTCCCGGGCGTGGGCCTCGCAGTAGGCCAGCAGGTCCGCGGCGGCCTGGGACACCTGCGGGGACACGGCACGGGCGCAGGGTGAGGGGCCAGTTCCCAGCGTGCGTGTGGAGAGTGGGCCCGCCGAGGACGGGACGGGCTGGGTGCACAGCCAGCGGCGAGGCCGTGCTCCGCCTGGGGAGAGGCTGGGTGCAAACCCGAGAAGACGGGTGGACATCTGCCTCCCGTGAGAGAGATGCTGCTCCAGTCCCACCACCTGGCAGAACAGAACGGGAGGCAGCAGGAGGGTCCTGGCCTCCCCTGTTTTTAAATATATTTTGATTTCAGAGGAAAGGAGAGGGAGAGAAACAAATGAGGAGAGGGAATCACTGATTGGCTGCCTCTGATCAGTTAGAGCAAGCATGTCAAACTCGTGGCCAGCGAGAGGAAGAGAGAGAAACATTAATGATGAGAGAGAATCATTGATCGGCTGCTTCCCGCCCCCCCCCCCGCCCCCCACTGGGGATCAAGCCGGCAACCAGGGCATATGCCCTGACCAGGAATTGAACCGTTACTTCCTGGTTCGTAGGTCAACGCTCAACCACTGAGCCACGCCGGCCAGACTCAGATACTAATAAACTCCTGAAAAATATTTTAGTGTGAAGAAGAAAATTTTTGTGTGCTTCGGTTTATGGTTCACCAGCACCCTCCCCTGGTCTGAAGCTGACTTGCTACATTGTAATTGTTTCTTCCTTGCCCTGGATCAGTTTACTAGTTCAGATGCCTGTGAGTATCTGTAGATCAGCGGTTCTCAACCTGTGGGTCGAGACCCCCTTGGGGGTAGAACGACCCTTTCACAGGGGTCGCCTAAGACCATGGGAAAACACATAGATAATTACATATTGTTTTGTGATGAATCACTATGCATTATGTTCAATTTGTAACAATGACATTGGGGGTCACCATAGCATGAGGAACTGTATGAAAGGGTCGCGGCATGAGGAAGGTTGAGAACCACTGATGTAGATGGATCTGACTCATTTAATTTCCCAAGAGCAGCCACCAGGGGGCACTGCGCGAGGACGGAGGCAAGGGAGGTGGGGGCTCAGAAATGGGGTTCTCTCTGGACAGCGGTGGAGGATGGTGCTGGGCCATGTTCTGTGTCACATCCGTGTATCTGCATTCCTCGCAGCCCCGTGTCTGCAACACCCTAACAACCTTCCTACCAGTGCCCGGCCCTGCTGGTCTGGGGGGTCTCATCCAGGGATGCTGTCACCTCCAAAGGTGGTGCTGCCCTTGATGCCACAGTTTCTCTTCCAAAAAAACCAACTGTCCTTAGATCGCCTCCCTTTCTTATTGTGGGATTACAGGTGTGTTTGCTTAGCCACACTTTTCTGGGTGAGATTGAGTCCTGTGTAACAGGAACCAAGACCTGAGGAGGTCACAAGTGACCAGTTGATTGATTGATTGATTGATTTCAGAGAGGAAGGGAGAGGGAGAGAGAGAAACATCAATGATGACAGAGAATCATGGATCAGCTGCCTCCTGCACCTTCCACACTGGGGATCGAGCCCACAACCAGCCATGTGCCCTGATCGGGAATCAAACCTGAGACCCTTCAGTCCGCAGGC